TCATCGACTCTCAGCGTCGCAAAAAGTCTAGGTGAGAGGCTAGGGTCCATACTTGTAAGAGGCTTTGAGGTCGGCTTTGTTTCAGGTTCCGCGCGGCAGCGTTTCCAGATTCGGGTTCCCTCCCACAGAGTTACCTTTCTTCAAAGGAGCTCTGAAGCAGAAACCCAAAGCCTCAACCCTAAACCCATAAAGCCTAAGAGCTAAACCGGGAGTCTGGTAAACTCCAGAACATGGGCCGCTTTTCCCCCAAAACCTGCCTCCAACTTGTATGCTTGGTGCAGGGCAGCTCTGGCTTCGGTCCAGCGTTCCTACAAAGAGTTGAATACATACATACATATATATATATATATACATACATACATATACATACATATACAGACACACACACACACACATACATATATATATATATATAACCATATATATATATATATATATGTGTGTGTGTGTATGTGTAGCATGTGTTGATTCTGTCTGATTGAGCTCCGATGGCTGCGACTCGCTCCTTCTGGAGTACAGGTATGTCAGTTGGTAGTTGGTGCATCTTCGCAGATGTATGGAATGAAAGTTAGCATTTTGCGGCAAGGGTCAGATGTCAGGGACTGATCCCTAACACTGAGGTGTTTTAGGCAAGCTTTGGTGGTGGATGTCTTTACAGCCAGAAAAGGTACGATGTCCGAGTGACGGCAAACTCGTAGGCTGCTAGTCGGTCGCATGGGCCTTACATGCCGAGAGAAGACTAGGGGGTCTCCGAAAATAGAGGACCCTAATATAGTGCCCCAAATAGTAGGATCCTTATTATAAGGACCCCAAAATAAGGTACCCCTTCTTTTCGGAAACTCCCACTACGACGGACATGGAACACTGCAGGTCTAGCCCTGTCCTGTGCAATCCGTATCTCACCCATGCGCTTGAAGGCCGTGGCCAGCAACGGGGAATCCTCACCCGAGGTGGACTCGAAGAGGCGGATAGCCTCCTCAGGGCCAGCAAAGGTGCTTCTGCCCTTTTCAGCGCCTGTTGCTGCAGGCGCAGAGGGCAACTGAAAACCGGCACTGCACATCACAGGCAGGTCGCAGATGTTGAGTATGAATGCACCGCAGGTCCTGGCACTTCAACTCCGCCTCCTCCATATCGCCGAGCTTCAGAGCCATCTTACCTGGCAGCCGAAGCGGCTTAGAGACCCTTCCTAACATGTTGGAGTTCGCAGAGGCGCCTCTAGCCTTTTCGGAGCTAACTTGGGCTAAGCCTATCATACACTGTGCCATAAATTGCGAGACTATGCTATACTATGTACATATATATATATATAACACTACTGTAAAGATAAATATAGGTATAAAACAAAGATAGCCGAGGTAAGCTGCTCAGGGTCATTCCGGCTTTGGCGGTGAGGGATGACTCCCAGCCATTCTCCATGTCCCGCTGCTTGTAGAGGTCGTAAGCCTGATCAGTGCAGAGGAGCACAACTCGTAGTCCCAGGAGCCTGACGGATCCCAGATACCTGTATTATATACTATTTAATAATATTTAATAATAATATGTAATAATATTTTATCATATTTTATAATATTTTATACCTGAATTCTATCTGCCCAGTTGTTTCCATCTCGGCCTCCTGCGCCGATTCGCGGGCTTCGGTCAGCTTGTGTTGCTTTTCGCGCACTCCCGCAAGCCCAAGCAGGACACCGCCTCTCAGAAGAACCAGATTTTGCCAAATGACTGCGTTCTGGGGAACCATCTGTTGGATGAGAGGAGCTTGACCGATGAGGGCAAGGACTTCGCAAATGAACACCAGGCAAGTGGATACTGAGCCACATGTGAAACGAACTTAACTGGTTGGTATGGCGAGGCTGCGGCCTTTGTTCTTCTGAGTGGATATGTTGCCATCCAGGAACATCAAGGACTGCAGAAAGTACGTCTCAGCTTCTGCATGCATCCCCATCCTCAGCCGGTAACTCCCATGCAGTATCTGCTATCGGCTATTGGGGGCTTAGGGGCTCTGCTGCTCTCTGTCCCTTGAATGCCACCAGCTTGCGAGTTGTATGTGTGCCCAATGTTCTCGCAGAGTGCCTCCAGTTGTGTCGGGCGAGGCTTGCTATTGGCTTCTCACATCTCATGTAGGGGTCTTAATGCTGGGAGTATGGTCTTGGAGGCATATTCGACTATAAAACTGGTCCATTTATGCTGTCTGGGCCGCTGAGGAATAGTATTATGAAAGTATCTTACGAGTCCAGTCTCACTGCACGCCAAGTGGCAGCACTCTTCCCCAGCAGGCCTTCCATCTGATTAAACCATGTCAAGGCCTCCTCGCAGAGGCTGCTTGGATTAACGTAAGGGCCTTAATAATTAGAACAGGGTTTGCGGATTCCTCATTTATTATAGTTCTAGTATAATATCCCCCCAAACCCTACTCTAGTTATCAAGGCGCCTTTATGAACTCCGAGGCATGGCTTCTAATGAAAGTGTGGCCATTCTTTGACCACACTGCAGCAATGCTGCCGCAAGTGGGGTCCAAATTACGTTGCTGCTGTTGTTGTAGTCGCCGCGATTGCTGCTACCGGTGCTACCAGTAGCTATTAACCTTAGTAAGGCAGTATCAGTAGCATACATCCTTGCAGCTCATTTTCGCTTCAAGCCAAAGCCATCATGAGCAGCGCCTTGAGACGGCCCTGCTTCCAGCGCGTGAAGGCCAGTGCCTGAAATTGGGAGGGTGATGCCCAAAGGACACACAAGTCTCTTCGAAAGTGGCATCACGAGCGTCACGCATCAAGCTGGGGATGCTCTAAATGCCGAGATATGCCTATATGCTAGGACTGTAGGAGATAAGCCTGCTCAATTTAGCCCTCCTGCCTGGATGGCTTGGACTGTCAGGTCATCTTGACGCCACCAGCAAGCCGGCATCACCTCTTTCAGGGCTTCATCTGCCTTGTTCAGGCGGTACAGCATGATCCAAAGGTCGAAGAGCTGGAAGAAGACTTCGAGAGTACGGCGATCATCGATCCCAAACTTCTCTCTGTGCTCGAAGAACTTGGCCTCCAACACGGCTTCCTCCAGGACCTGCTCCGATGCAAGCTCCGGGCCCTGGTCGATCTTGGCCGTCTTCGTGCTGCAGAACGGGAAAAGCAGCAGGAACGGCAGCAGCGCAGTGCAAAGGCCCATGGCGTCATAGCATTATGGCATCGCTCTGCCTTGCGTTACGCTGAGCATCTGCAGGATTAGTGGCTGCTGGAAGTAACACTCTCGACGACATGAAAAGATGTAGCCTTAAATGGTTCACATCAGCACACAAACCTCCGTGACGTGATGTGTAGCTTCTGCGGCCTAATCAATTCCATGCGGTTCTTACTGAAGCTCAGGCTATCATAACCCCCCTATAACTCTTGTCCGTCGTATTCGCTGCCCTTTGAAGCATGCATAGGCCGTATCACCCGCTCGTGAGCAACCATCGCTTAAGCTTGGTCCCACTGTAAGGCTTACTAGGGTCGTTACTGTAGGCTTTTCGGGTTGAATTAGACGTATTTTCAGGGTTATAATCCGGGATACTGCAGGGTCGACACACACACACACACACAATGAGAAGTGCTGACACTGTCTCCCGATGCTATGATGCCGTATACATCCGAATGAAACACCGCACATCAAGGTTGTTTTCCTCGTTGGCATTTACTGCCTGGCGGGCTTGCCGCACCTGAGGCGGCTGAAGGATCGTTAGCCCTGACACGCGCAACAGGCCAGCTTACGAAGGCCTATGCAAGTCAGCACACAGGAGGTCCTGTGCTCAGAACTGGCATTTCGGGCCAGCTGTTTTCATGCTATGAAGACTCAAACCTGTACAAAATCGGTGGGCGCCGTGCTATACAGTTCGATGACCTCTATGCTCTATGCGGCTTGTGATCTGACCATGTGAAGAAACTACTACAGAGCTTGTGCGCGTGCTAGCGCAAGAAGCCCAGCGGCTGGTCATTGAAGCGCCACACCTTGTGACATTGCTATGAAAATGCAAAGCGCTACCACAAACCTGGTGGCGCAGCTACGAGCCATCCCGGCCTGCCTCAGGTATGCGCCGTGCGTTGGAATCTGAAGCACGCGGCCAAAAGGAAAATGCTTGTCTCTGTTTACAGCCCAGGCAGAGGTGACTAGGCCCTGACTAGGCCTGGCCCGTGGTGCATGCCTGTGCTTCATGAGGCATTTCCTTGCTCATGCGTCCAAACCTAAGGACGAGATCGAGCAAGGTGCCGAAACCCATGTGCTCACTGTCGTACTCATGAGTACTCATGCTCTGCATCGAGACAACTATGTGTCCAGGAGGTGTGGTGTGTGCGCGCAGGAGCAAGCTGACATTGCTATTAAGCAAATTGATTTGCCAAGCCATGGAACTCCAACATGAAAGACGCGGGACATTGCTGCACTCTGGGGCACTTTCTTGCAGTGTTTCCTCCGGCTCCACGTTATGGACCCAATCACCAAGCTTGACAAGCTTCTCTCGGCAGTTCTATGCTGATGGGATGAATTTGGAACATCAGAACCCGACCCGATATGAAGATTCTTGCAGGTGTCAGCGAGACTCTTCACTGTCCAAGCATTCGAACGGCCTACCATATCCTATAGGATGTGCAGGCCACCAGACACGCGCAAGGTCCCCACAGCAAAATGACGTTTGTAAAAGCCAAGGAGGGCTCCTTGGGGCTTGCACCCGCTGTGTTCGGGCAGGTGCAAGCAAGCTACTTAGATCGAGGGCACGGCTTCAGTCCTAAGAGCCCAAAGCAGGAGGCTTTAGGACCTCAACTTCAGCATTGAACAAGGTGAAACATAGCTCCGTGACACATGTTCTGCGAAAAGAGCTTCACGCACCCGACTCCTGGCGCCAAGTACAGGTCCACAACCACACACCAACAGTGAACAAGAACAAATTCCGGCTTAAACTATCCACCATGCGAGAAGACATGGATTTCAGTTTGCAAATCCAAAGCATGTGGCCACGCCGATGCTGCAATGCGTCCTCAGCCAGCGACCATGGCCTCCCACTTCCTGCCCACAGCCCATTAGCATGACTACGACTAGTAGAATAAACGCGCAGGGACGCACATTGCACAGCACAGCATGCACAGGCTTCTGCAAGGCCCAACCCTAAGCGACCATGGGAAGAAATTCCAACTGAATAGGAAGTGTGTGCCATGCAAACATACATGGTCATGCTGGTGCCTCTGGAGGCGTTCTTGGAGACTGTCGAGTGCATTGTGGCACTTGGTAACGTCGTCCACGGACTCCTCAGTACCGTCCACGAAACGACGCACTTGTCTATACTACAAGATCTACAAGTAGCACCAAGTATTTCCACACCTGCTTGCATCGTCATGCTCCCATGCACTTCACAGGCTTAGCAGGCATCACGCTTCAGTAATCAAATCTATGTGGAGACATGGCCGTCTAGCTCCCTCCCGTTGCGATAAACATACTGAGGCAACTTGCCATTGGCTGCGCCAGCGGCTGCTGCTGCTTGGCCTGTCGTGCGAAGACCTCGCAGAAGTGGAAGCCCATGCACTGCAACACACAGTGCAGCTCGTCATCGGACCTACTACGGAATCAGCAATTACACCGCTTTCTGTTTCATGCTGCGGCAAACACGGAAGACTAAGTGCACGTCTGACAAGCTCCGAGTGCAAAGCAACGAAGCGGTTCCATGACATGAATACTGCGTGCAGATGGCAGCCGGCACTCCGACCAAGACAGTCTGAGACTGCCACCGAAATGTCTATACTTGCTTCGCCCAGTTCAGTGTCAGCAGAAAATCGTCCTGCAAGTAAGGCTGGCTGGCTGCTGCACTGTCAACTGTCTGAAAGGAACCCTGAACGAAGAACCTGTCCAAATTTCGCGTCGCACTGTGTTTCAGAGCCTCCTTGCAACCTGCAGCCTTGCCAGAAATGCTAGGTCAGCCCGGAGAAACTTCCTCCAGGAAGGACATCTGGCAGGGTTTCGCTAAGAGTTGGCTGCGCTAACCATGGATTAGCCAGACCGGTCTCGAGGCAGTCGGAGAGGCCATCTTCTGCTTCGGCTTCGGGAGGATGCGACCATCCTCAACTGTAGCTCCAGGCTGAAGTTGCAGTTGCGAGAACAACTTTGACCGGGCACAGGGGCCGGATAAAAGCAAGTATGATGCAGTGCCGGGCGTCGGCATGTGCGGCTCTGGAGATGGAAGATGTTTGGCTCAGTGGATCCTCGGGCCAACGTGTCAGTTGTCGTGAGTGTAGCAGGAGTCCATATACAGGGAGTCAATACAGAGCTCGTACCATCAGCAAGGCGACACATCGAGCTGAACGCATGCCTTCGACGGTCATCTACGCCAAAGTATTGAAAACGCCAAGCATCTGCATCGGGCTTGGTGGTCAATGACTTCACGCCGGCGTGGGTTCGGCTCAAGGCATCCTCAGCTATTGGGACGAACGCAGTAAGGACCGCAAACGGATGCAAAGGGCAACACAAGAATGGTTTCACATGCCCCAGAGTTATCACAGAACCAACGAACATCCGGTGCAAGAGTCGCGTTAACAGTTTGAACATGTTTCGACGAAACATGTCCAAACCGTTCAATGCGCTACTTCCAGAAAGATGAGTTCCCACATGCACCAAGTCGTCACGCATCGTCACGGTGTTGCAGGCACCCAGCACTTTCACCATGTTTCTCGCTATCCTGCTCCCGGCCTGGAAAATTCCGGAGGGCTCCGTATCAGACCGCTCGCGCCTGGTGTCGAGCCCGAGATCGTTGGCCTGACTGCAAGATCATTGATCTGGCTCTAACCGGATCCACGCTTCGCACACCCTGGTTCTCTCGTCTGCTTCCGTGCAATCCAAATCTTTGGAGTCCTCTCAACACTTCGCTGCTCTCTTGTTTCTTAAGCTTTATGGGGTCGCGCCGCCTCACTCTGTCTCTCACTCTCTCGGTCTCGGTGCGATGTCGCATTCAGGAACGTGTCGTGCAACCATCCGGCCAAAGCAGCGTCAAGAGACGAACAAATCGCACATGTATGTGACAGAGGGTTCAAAAAACACGTTTCCACAACTTATGAACCTCTATGTAGAAACCCGCTAAGCCCATTTATATTATGTATGTATGTACATACGCACGTATGGTATGTATGGTAAGTATGGTCTGTATGGTATGTACGTATGTATGCATGCATGCATGCATGCATGGATGGATGTATGGATCTATGATGTATGTATGTACAAACGTACAGGTACATGGGTGCATGTGCACGTGCCGAATAGAACTACAAAGTACTCGCTATACTGCGGCACGAGTGCATATCGTAGCATATCGCATGGTATGCCATGGTACGGCATGGTGCTGAGCTTTGTTCTGCTTTCTGTGGGATTTTGCAAGTACGGCATATCGTCACTTGCTAACCTCAAACCTCAGACCAGAACTGTAAACCCTGAAACTCCAAATAGCCCAAAGTAGGCACTATTTACAGACTTTAGAGCCCAAAGTAGGTACTATTTGNNTTGTATACTTGGAGCCCTAGGGAAATGCTCTGCAGTCGGGCCACAATGGCCGTTGGGCTCTTCAGCCAATCACGGACCGCAGCAAAAGTCTCGCTTTCGGACCACCTGGCTAGTCAGGAAAAGAAGCATATAAGTTTCTGGGATGCTTGAAACGACGTCTGTATGGGCAATGAAAGGTTGCAGCAGCTTCTTTTACACGAACTTGATGGAATTATATACTGGATTATACTGGTGTTGTTGGATTGCTTCCCCTCAACACCTCGAGATTAACTTGCTGGAAGCCACGGTGAAGACGGTGAAGCATCCTTGCCGCCTAGCCGTGCGCTCGAAGTTGAGTCCTGCAGGTAGACATGTTCACGTCTGCAGTTGCCAAGGTGTTGCAGGTACGAGTTCCTTGATGAGTGTCAAGTGACTTCAAGCATCGCAGTGAATCACTGTTCCCAGCCGTAACCTTGAGCCTTCCCAGAGTAATTACTCCAAACAGCACCGTTCTGCTAATTTTTCCTGTCAGTGAAATTTTCAGAATGTGCCCTATCCGGCATACGATCTAGCTGATCGCGATTCGGAGCCTTAACTCGGTCCTTGCTTCCGGAACGACTGCAGATGCCGAACCTCAAGGGCGCCCGTTCGCAAACAACAATCCAATTGCTGATTGGGACTTTGTGGTGCAGAAAGCCGAGAGACCCAAATCCCAGCTGGTCTGCTTGACTCAGATGGAAGGCATCACCTCTCTCCTGGAAACGCCAGGCTTCCGCACTCAGAAATTGCACGATGCCAGGGCTCACAAAAGTATACCCCGAAATCCGGTTCGTGTTGACACGGCTCAGGCTCCTTCGTGTCGGGGAGCCCGAAGTCCAAGGCCCTCTTGGCTTCAGCAGGGGTGCCAAGCTCAGACGCCTCCTGGAGACCCGAAAAGGTACACCCTATCACTCTTCGAAAGAGTATAATAAGCCTACTAAGGAGGTCCTTGAATTACTGTAAGGAGTCGCGGCGGTACACCGGTTCCAGATAGGATTGAGTAAAGTTTTATGACGGAAGAAGATGTGCACAGCTGATCTGGGTCCGCCTTGCTGGAGCTGCGACTTCCTCCCTCCTGCACGAGTGCTTCTTTCGCGGTGCTTTTGAGGCGGACACATGACTTTTTTTATTTTTGCACATGTTGGCCACTACCTGCATGCTAAGGTTCTGCAAATGGAGGGAAGATGGAGTGCTTCTGCCCCGGGGATCTCATGATTTTGTGGGTGCTCCATCCATCAGCATGCTGTCAAAGCACTTAGTCAGTAAGCACTGTCAAGTCCTTGATCGAGGTGGGAGTGTTGTCCGACCTGGAGTTCCGACAAGCAGTCTGTTGATCAGACCCACCTTCAATGTTCACATTAATGTTAATGATACTGTGTTAATAATAGTACTACTACGACTGATAATGATAATAGTAAAAATAATAATATAATAATAATAATAAAATTGCTCCTAACTCTTGGATCATGCGCGATGCATCACCTGCTGCCAATACCCACAACTCTACGACACCACGACACAGGATTTGGATTTCAGGCTTCCATGGTCTCATGCGCAAACAGCTCGAAATGTGCAGAAGGCCCTACAGCAAGGCACTATCAATTCCG